TCAGAACTTCGCCACCCGGACGGTGTTTGGTTTAGTGAAGAGCCATTTGACGATTATTTTAATAGTTACTCTTATAGTTACAGTTCAGTTAGTTACAGTTCAGTTGCATTTGCAGTGACAGTTACAGTTCAGTTACAGTTACAATTACAGTTCATTTACAGTTACAGTTCAGTTACATTTACAGTTCATTTACAGTTACAATTACAGTTCATTTACAGTTACAGTTCAGTTACAGTTCAGTTACAGTTCAGTTACAGTTCAGTTACAGTTCAGTTACAGTTCAGTTACAGTTCAGTTACAGTTCAGTTACAGTTCAGTTACAGTTCAGTTACAGTTCAGTTACAGTTCAGTTACAGTTCAGTTACAGTTCAGTTACAGTTCAGTTACAGTTCAGTTACAGTTCAGTTACAGTTCAGTTACAGTTCAGTTACAGTTCAGTTACAGTTCAGTTACAGTTCAGTTACAGTTCAGTTACAGTTCAGTTACAGTTCAGTTACAGTTCAGTTACAGTTCAGTTACAGTTCAGTTACAGTTCAGTTACAGTTCAGTTACAGTTCAGTTACAGTTCAGTTACAGTTCAGTTACAGTTCAGTTACAGTTCAGTTACAGTTCAGTTACAGTTCAGTTACAGTTCAGTTACAGTTCAGTTACAGTTCAGTTACAGTTCAGTTACAGTTCAGTTACAGTTCAGTTACAGTTCAGTTACAGTTCAGTTACAGTTCAGTTACAGTTCAGTTACAGTTCAGTTACAGTTCAGTTACAGTTCAGTTACAGTTCAGTTACAGTTCAGTTACAGTTCAGTTACAGTTCAGTTACAGTTCAGTTACAGTTCAGTTACAGTTCAGTTACAGTTCAGTTACAGTTCAGTTACAGTTCAGTTACAGTTCAGTTATAGTTCAGTTACAGTTCAGTTATAGTTCAGTTACAGTTCAGTTATAGTTCAGTTACAGTTCAGTTACAGTTCAGTTATAGTTCAGTTACAGTTCAGTTATAGTTCAGTTACAGTTCAGTTATAGTTCAGTTACAGTTCAGTTACAGTTCAGTTATATTTCAGTTACAGTTACAGTTTGCAATTATCAGTCAGTCACAGTTCAGTTACAGTTCAGTTACAGTTCAGTTACAATTACAATTAGTTACAGTTAATGTTAGTTACAGTTAGTTACAGTTTAAGTTAGCACAAATATGGAGAAAAAAATGTATCAGTATCGATTACAATTTAGGTCAAGGTCTTGACAGGGCTACAATTTGGCCACATTGTGAGGTCGTGCGTTCCAGCAGTTGTGTGATGACGCTAAGACTGCAAATAAGACAAACTGCCGGGACACGTCATCTTTCTCGGATTCACTTTTCGCGGTCTCATCTATATATGAAGAGCTTATTTTCACAACATGGCATCCACCATTTTCGAAAAAAAAACGAAAAAAAAAAACCTAACTTTTTGGAGAGCAAACAATGTTCCTTTAGGGCAGTGGTTCTCAACCCATCTTAGTGCCGCGACCCTTTAATACAGTTCCTCTCGCTGTGGCAACCCCCAACTACAAAATTATTTTCGTTGCTACTTCATAACAGGGGAGTTATGTGTTTTCAGATGGTCTTACGCGACTCCTGGGAGAGGGTCGTTCGACTCCCCAAAGGGGTCGCGACCCACAGGTTGAGAACCGCTGCTGTAGGACATGGTAAAGTTTATTTACTAAACACCTCATGTTCCTATTCTATTCTGGTCTAAAATAATTCAATTCTCTAAACGCAGATGGCATTTGGGGGGGGAGGGTAAAAGTTGAATAATCTCAAAAACGGACAAACAGCATTGTGAAAATCAGCTCTTCATAAACAATTTAGTTTCGCTGAATTTTCGCTCTACTACAGAGTTTTACAGTAGATAGCTATTTATAAAATATATATTTATTGTTTTATTAATTTTTGCGGTAAAATAAGCATTTTCTAGCTGAAAAGTTATTGAAAACAATATAGCAAAATACATTTAAGGTTAATTAAAATATATTAAAAGAAAGAAAGAAAGAAACAAACATACAAACAAACAAACATTGTTCTTTGATATTTATTAATCCATGTATATAAATAAATATCGCGGGACGAACACGCGAACCCCAGCGACACATCAGTGTGTTCCAACCTACCTGCCTACCAACCTACCTGCCTACCAACCTACCTGCTTACCAACCTACCTGCCTAAAAACCTACCTGCATACCAACCTACCTGCATACCAACCTACCAAACTACTTACCTACTTGCCTACCATCTACATGCCTACCAGCCTACCTACCAACGAACCTAACTTCCAAAGAACCTACCTTCCTACCAATCTACCTGCCTACCAACCTACTTTCCCGCCAACCTACCTTCCTACCAACCTACCTTCCCACTAACCTACCTGCCCCCCCCCAAGTTACCAGCCAACCTGCCTACCAACCTACCTGGCTACCAACCTACCTTCCCACCAACCTAGCTGCCTACCTGCCTACCCGATGACAGTCACAACCCTACTCCCATGCACTGCTCAGGTTTGCTACTGGGTGGAAGACAAAACCAAATCCCTCACATGAATGGATTGGGGTGGGGGCGGAATCAATTTAACTTCGCTCAGCTCTAGAACATAGAATGATAAATCCGCTGTGTTTTTGCGCGCCCTACTTCTCTGTGCACCGGGCCTGGTGCACTGACATTTTGTACGTCTGCTGGTTTATCCGCGGTTGCCGCCTAACGTGCCGTAATGCACCAAAACTCTCGCTCCCAAGCTGTTCATAAACACAACCGATATCAGCTGTTTGTCATAATGTGTTTTTTTTTAATTTTTTTTTTTAAAGGAGCGGGGTATTTTTTTTTCCACCGTGGCCTGTCACAAGTTTTTTCTTTAGTCCGTGGTGAACACTGGCTTACAATAGTACAAACTAAAAACATAATATAAATGATCACCCGGAAAGGCAACATTCCAGAAGACACCAGAAGGCAATGCTGTGCCGACGCTGAGACGATTTGTCGTTCGCTTGACAACTCGTCTGGTCTCCCTGCTGCGCTGATTGAAGATTAGGAAAAGGCTCGCGGTTTACCTTGAGAGTTGATCTACTGTCGAGAGATACCGATTGATCGCAGGGCGCTGTGGACTGATCGCAGGGCGCTGGACACGGTCGACTGATCGCAGGGCGCTGTCGACTGATCGCAGGACAATGTCGTCTGATCGCAGGGCACTGACGACTGATCGCGGGACGCTGGAGACTGACCGCCGGACAATGTCGCCTGATCGCAGTGTCGACTGATCGTAGGGCGCTGTCGACTGACCGCAGGACAATGTCGCCTGATCGCAGGGCACTGTCGACTGATCGTAGGGCGCTGTCGACTGACCGCAGGACAATGTCGCCTGATCGCAGGGCACTGTCGACTGATCGCAGGGCGCTGGACACTGTCGACTGATCGCAGGGCGCTGGACACTCTCGACTGATCGTATGGCGCTGTCGACTGATCGCAGGACAATGTCGCCTGATTGCAGGGCACTGTCGACTGATCGCATGGCACGGTCGAGTGATCGCATGGCACTGTCGACTGATCGCATGGCAATGTCGAGTGCTGGCAGAGCACCGTCGAATGATCGCAGGGAACTGTCAGCCCTTGCAAGCCGACGAACGGTGTCCGTGCCACTGCCAAGCTGGCCAGGGAGAAATTTATGCCCCTGTGCGCCCAAAGCCCGGAAATTAAGTGATGCTATTGGAATTTGTCGTTGCCTTCTGACACCAAGCCCACATTGTCTTCGTCTGACACCAAGTCCACACTGTTTTCATCTGACACCAGGCCCACACTTTCTTCGTCTGGAACCAGGTCCACACTGTCTTCGTCTGACACCAGGCCCACACTGTCTTCGTCTGACACCAGGCCCACACTATCTTCGTCTGGAACCAGGTCCACACTGTTTTCGTCTGACACCAGGCCCACACTGTCTTCGTCTGACACCAGGCCCACACTGTCTTCGTCTGGAACCAGGTCCACACTGTCTTCGTCTGACACCAAGTCCACACTGTCTTTGTTTGAAACCAGATCCACACTGTCTTCGTCTGGAACCCGGTCCACACTGTCTTCGTCTGACACCAGGCCCACACTGTCTTCGTCTGACACCAGGCCCACACTGTCTTTGTTTGAAACCAGGTCCACACTGTTTTCGTCTGGAACCAAGTCCACACTATCTTCGTCTGGAACCAGGTTCACAATTTCTTCGTCTGACACCAGGCCCACACTTTTTTCGTCTGACACCAGGTCCACACTGTCTTCGTCTGACACCAGGCCCACACTGTCTTCGTCTGGAACCAGGTCCACACTGTCTGCGTCTGGAACCAGGTCCACACTGTCTTCGTCTGACACTAGGCCCACACTGTCTTCGTCTGACACCAGGCCCACACTGTCTTTGTCTTGAACCAGGTCCACACTAACATTTTCGTTGTGTCAATGTCTTAAAGCCGTCGGGACTCCATCTCCAGGTTTGATTTCCAGGTTCGCCTTCTCTCAGATGAGTTGCCGTCAAAGGCTAGCTTGGCCACCGATCCCCAACAGCATTGCCGTGGCTGACCACAGAAAAAAAAAAAACAGAAAAAAACAACCAATTAAAAAAAACAACAAAAAAACCAACAAAAAAAAAAACAAAAAAA